AGAGAATCAGGCAATTCTTGAAATTTTCACTATCTATAGAAAATTCCTGATTAAGCAACTTCCAGAAATACCATTCAGATTGCGTGCTAAATCCTGACTTAAGCAAACTTCATAACTTTGCGCTAAAGATGGCCGTGTCCTCATAACTGCACGCTCTGTTTTAAAGTAACGTAACTACAAACTGAGCATTGCAAACTCCTTGAAATTTTCACAGACCATAGAAGACACTTCATTCTGCCACTGTTGAAAATATTATTGAGATCGCGTTTTAAATTTTGACTTCAGCGGACTTCATAACTATTGAGCTGAAGATGGTACGATCTGTTTAAAGTGACCTAACTTTTAACGGACCATCAGGAAGTTCTTGAAAATTTCAGTGTCCATAGAAAATACTTGATTCTCTAACTTACAAGATTGTAATTCGAGATAGCGATTTAAATCCTGACATTAGAGGACTTCATAACTGTTAAGTTAAAGTTGGCCGTTTCTGCACAACTGCACGCTCTTCTATAAAGTCTTCTAACTTTGAAACGAGCACCAAAAAACTCTTGAGTTTCTCACTGTGCATAGAAAATACCTGATTCTGGAACTTCCGTAAATATCATTCAGATTGGGTGCTAAATCCTGACTTAGCGAACTTCATAAGCATTGAGCCGAATATGATGGTCTCCGCACAAATGCACCCTCCGTTAACGTGCTAACTTCTAAGCGAGTGGTAGAAACTTTTTGAAATTTTCACTGTCGATAGAAAATACCTAATTTTGCAACTTCCTAGTATGCCATTCAGATCGCGTGCTAAATCCAGACTTTAGCAAACTTCATAACTTTGGACTTAAGATGGTTGTTTCCGGGCAGTTGAACGCTCTCGTTAAAGTGTCCTAACTTCTAATCAAGCTTCAGGAACCTTTTGAAATTTTCACTGTCCATAAAAAATACTTAATTCCGCAACTTCAAAAATGTTATTCGAGAAAGCGCTCTAAATGCTGATTTTAGCAGACTTGATAACTGTTGAGCTAAAGATGGTCGTTTCCGCACAACTGCAAGCTGTCTTTTAAAGTGTCCTAACTTATTTTTTCTTTTGTATTGCATCTAATCTATGGTGCATAACAACGTGTAATCTTTGCAACAACAAAAAGAACTTGAGTTTGCAATCGTCCGTGATTTTTGTTGAGATCGTGCCCAGAATCCTGATTTTAGCAAATTTCATAATTGTGCTAAAGTTGGTCGATTCGGCACAATTGCACGTTCCTCTTTAGTGTCTTAACTTCTATACTCACGCATGCTACTTCTTGACATTTTCGCAGACCATAGAAGACACTTGACTCTGGAGCTTTTGAGAATTTTATTTAAATCGCGAATAAAATTTATTTTAATGCGATTTTACGGAGCTTCATAAATGTTGGGCTAAAATTGGACCGTTTCCGTACCACTGCACGCTCTCATTTGAAGCGTTCTAACTTAAAAAAAAATAAATTCGTGAAAAAAAACATTTTTTCTTTACTTGCCGTTCCATGTCAGCAAAATTCGTACCCAAGTGTGTTGGTTTGATACACAGTAAGTTGCCCCCGTTAAGGCATGGTAGAATGAATGAAAACTTTTTACCTACAAGCTTTTTGGGCACTTTTTAAATCTTATTCACCACAAGCTCGTGCGAAGAAATCTATTGGGTGCAGGACGGACAAAGTGTCCGGCCTGAAACGATCATCAAGAGCACCTTTTTCCAGTACAAAAATAAAATGTGAAACTCGAACGAAATTCTCAAACTTTTAGGGCACGAGGAATTTTTTGCTCTAAAAACAAAACGTTTCTTTACAAAAAAATCGATATAGACAAAACACCTGCAAACTGGGCTGGTTTGTTTGACAAAAATTTCCTTCCTTCCATTTCCTCCATAGAAAATACCCCAGTCTGTAGACTGCTTGGAGAATTTCATTCAGATCGCGCTAAAAATGTTGATGTTAGAGAACTTTGTAAATGTTGTTAAAAGCGTTCTAACTACTTTAAAAAATAAATTCGTGCCAAAGTGTTCCATGTGAACAAAATGTTTGCAAAAGTGGGCTGGTTTGTTCCGGGAAGAAAAAGTAGGTAAAAGTAGGTACCTCTGTTTAGGTAAAAAAAAACTTTTTATAGGTTTTTGGCTAATTTTTTTGAAATCCATTCATTGCAAGCTTTAACGAAAATTTAATGGGCTTTTAGGACTATTTGTCAAAACTCATATATCGGAAGCTTTTCAACAATCCTTACCAAATACCTACCAGGGGCAGCCCTAACATTTGAACCAGAGCACCTCTTCTTTCGATAGGAGACACAAAACGTGAAAATAACCCGAAATTATCAATGCTTTAGGCGGTTTCAGTGCTTTGACTTGCTTAATTGTGGCTGTAAAAACAGAGTTTTCTCTCGAATTTTTTTTTCAGGGCATTTCATATGGACAAAATACGTGCCAGAGTGGGTCGGTTTGTTTCACAGAGAGCGCTCCGGATGAGGGAAGGGAAGAAGAAGGAAGAGACCTTTCAGTAGATATTTTGGGCATTTTCTCAAAACCGATTGAATGAAAACTCTTGAAATTTGTCCGCTAGGTACTTTGGCTCCTGCCTGATATTTTACCAAGAAACCTTTTCCTTGATAGAAAGTTTCGTTTGGGAGAAAAAAATTAAATGGCAAAAAGCGACCAAAATCTGAAATTAAGTTGCGCAGCTGCACGATCTACTTTAAAATGCCCTAACTTCTGATGTAGCATAAAGAGCATCTTTATGCTTCAACATATTAAAGACAACACTAGAGACTGTAACTTCTGAAAATTTCACTCAGAACCCTCACTAAATACTGATTTAAGCAGTCTAAAAAGTGAGCTGTTTGTTCCGGCAAAAGGTCTGTCCCCCTGTTAAGATAAGGGAGAAAGAATTATTTTTTTTTAATTTTTGGTAATTTTTTCGAAGAAATTGAATGGACTTTTTAAGCGATTTTACAACAACCGTTTGTGGCAAGCTTTTCAAAAATTCCCACTAAATACCTTGGAGCAGGCCTGTCTAACGTTGGAACAAGACCATCTTCTTTCGATAAAAAGCGTCTTTTGGGGAAAAAACTTTAATCGGTTGACTATTTACAAGGAATTCGATAAATACATATGCATCAAATATACACAAAAATTAAAAAGTGTCTTTCGAAAAGAGTTCTTCGAATTAGATGCGCAAAAAATAAAAATCTTTCTGCACTACTCTTAAAAGAAAGTGACTTAAAATCGAATCAAAATTGTCAAATCCCTTACAAATTTATCGAAATTAACATCGATTACTTTTTAGTCTGGTCCGAACATGTTGCCCATATGAAAAGTGAAATCACGCCAACGAAAAATAAACGTTTCCCATTTAAATCCGATGCTGAGAAAGGACAGACTAATCTGGATTTAGATAAAAATAAAAATTTGCCAAACTCAATAATCATCCAAATAATCCCCAACGCACACAGCTTGATAGTATATCAATAAACCTTCAAAATATCGTAAAAATTGGGCAAAATATTTGGCTTAAAATGCCATTAAAATTCATCATCAACAAACAGGGTCATACAAAACTACTTTTGGCATGAGCTTGTAATACAGGCGGTGAATGAATCAAAAGAAACCCAAATGCGAAGCATAAGACTTTAAAAGTAGGAAAATGTAAATTGAATAGTTGGCTTAACTGAAAACTTAAGTTTAAATGTTTCCTCCCCACCCCAATAGAGCCGAATCCTAACGGAATCTACTGTCAGCTGTCAGCTGTCAGCTGGGTGTAATGGCGGCAAGTTCAATTAATATCTGGAAGCGTTTAACCTAAAAACGCAAAACCCTAAAAAATAACGAAATTCATGTCTTTTACTGATTCTTGCACAACAATCGACGACCATGAACTATTATCTATAAAATTGCCAATAACCTAAATTTAATAATGCTCGTCGCCAAATTGAACAAAGCAATTGGCATTATCAGCATAGCAGATATCCAACGGAAGGACTATGTATAAATAGATAACAGCGTAAATTTCGCAGTTGTTTCAATAATTCGCAACAATTCAGTTGAACTAAAGTGCACCGTCGAGGCAAAAGTAGTGATTCCCCTGAGTGATCGTTACCGTTAATTAACATAACCTTGACGTGTCTAAACTGTTCCACATGCGTGTTTCCTAACCTTAGATCATCAGCAGCAAAAATTGGAAATGTTTGAATTTTAGTCGGTGGTGACTTTTTCCCCCAGATAAACGGGGCAAAGTGGCCGTTGGGAGATCGTGGAATGGATTCGACGAAGAAGTTCGACAATCCCAGTCCGGAAGAATCGGCCGGCTGGTTGAACAAACTCTTCTTTTGGCAAGTTTTTTGGGTTTACCTATTCGAACGCGCCCACGAGCGTGTGAATTTTCCCTGGCAAAGATTGATAAATTCCGATTTGTTTGGAAGCAACATGGATTTCTATCGAACGGCCTTGTTTGCGATCGATATATGTATTTACAAACAGTGGAATTAATCCGCCGATCAACTCGCCTGCCCGCCAGCCATCGGCGTACTAAATATCTATACTAATCGATTTAATGTAAGCATAAAAGGCTTCCGAGTATGCAAAAATTAACAAGAAGGTACTCAAAAACATTCATAAAGACATCAGATCCTATAAAAGGATGCAAATTAAAGCCTCAATTGAGCCAAATAAAAATTCGATGGCAGCAAAATATCACCCGATAATCACCCGGTCTACGGGCTGGATTGTGACGTCACGTAAACTAGACCAGCGCTCGGTGTAACGCATATCGGAAGTTAAAGAACAAACCCGAGTATATCATAGATCGAATATCAAGAATTTATGCCAAATAATTATGGAATCTTTATATCGACCTAATCGATATCTTTCTTGGGATAGTGTGGACATGATTAGCTGTTTTCCTCACATTATTTTATCTAATGTTACAAATGTCGTTTATGCCGCGTTTATATGTTTGGGTTTGTTTAGGAGTGGACTCGTTACATTGCCAAAATATAAAATTTTTAATATCTGCTAATAAACTAGATAAATGGTTGATGTCGTTAAGTAAATGGAGATTTAAAACTATGAACCAAAAAGCAAAAAAATTTCCTGTTCAACTAGGAAGGTTTCTGATTTTAAATTTGAATTCATAGTAACTGCGTATGTGATAACCGGTCCAGGAGAATTCCCTTTCTCCTGGAGAAGATATTCTTTAGTCATTATTCCACGCCACTCATCAGGGAGAAACCAAGAGTACAAAATATTCATAAACTGTTCAAAAATTCCAAACGATACTGACGGCATTAGAGAAAGTGTTTAATAAGTTTAATAAGATGTGCCGAGCCCTTCGGCCACAACACTGTTTCCGATTCAAAAGCGCTCTAAGTGCCCGAAGGGTTCGGCAAAACAATCGCTTTAGTGTTTAATGACGAAGTGGTTTATTTTTAGAGAAGGTACTGTTTTTTGTCTCTGCTCCAAAAAAATGGTCACAAAATAGCCGAGGATTTTGAACCGGGGGGGATTAGGAGCCGAAACTTTAAGATGGTCTTAGAATTGTTTCCTCGTATAACGAACTATCAAAGTTAGAGGTAAAATAGTGCAGTTAGTCAGTTTGACGCCTTTTGACCCGCAATTGAAATTTCCTGGCAAACGGTTCCAGATAGTGTGCGCAAGCAGAGATAGAAGGACTTTCAGTATCTATATGACCAGGCCACACAACATCAGGGATTTGATAAAAAATCGGTCCAAAACCCGAACGAAAAAAAATTCGAAATTTTTTTGGAGAATTTCATTTTTTTTTCAAAATTTTATGATAAAAAAATATTTCAAAATTATGCTTTGTAGGCAACATTCTTTAAGAAAAATTCCACGAGTTTTTCAGCATCACACAAGCACTCCAGAATTTAAACCAAATAAATAGGACGACCCATTTGAAATCCATTTATTTGTTTGCCTTTTACTGCAAACGATTCCAGATAATCATTTTTCTTGCTCCAGCACTCTTTTAGAGAATGGAGAGTTTTTAGGTCCCATAAAATTACGTTGGCCTTAAACGCTAAACGTTATTGTGATCATGCGCAGTGTTAAAAAAATAAGGTGTTCAGGCAAATAACGTTAAGTGCGTTTTTTACCTTTTGATGCCGCGGTTGTTGCACTCTTATATAAACCTCACTTTATTGTTTGATTATCCCGTTTTGTTTGGAAAAGTTGCAAAGCTAGTTTAAGTTTGTATTGTTATTAAACAAAAAGTGGCTAAGATGGAAGAAAACATTGAAGCTGCCTTTCTGCACCGAAACGATCAGGGAGATGTGGATCACGATTTAATAAGAGGCTTAATTTTACACATCTTTGACCCACCTGTTGTTGCAAACCGAAGAGCTATTTTTAATTTAGAAAATTTTCAGCCCGGAAATCGCCTTATAAAATTTAGGTTTCAGGAGGAACGTAATCCGAACATATTAAATAAAAATTCAAAATCAAATAGTTAGGTTATGGGTTAGAAGTTAGAACCTGTCCGTGCGATGTTCGTAGTGTTACCAAAGTTCAAATTTGCCCAAACAATTTTCACATAAAATCCGTATATACGCAATAATGGCTTAAACTAATCAATGAGAAAGTCTTATTTGAATTTACAAAGATTTGTTATTCTATTAATAATATCAGAAGTAAGTCAAATATGTCAACACCGTCGTTCTGCTTTTTAACGTGGTGTTTATTAACGTTACCGCTACTCGTACGTAAATAAAGGAACACGATATCCTCTAATAACGTAAACGGTTATTTCTTTACTAATGCGCATGCTCAAAATAACGGATAACGTAAAACGTGTTGCAATTAAGGGGCCTAAAACTCCCTAATACTTTGGGCAATACAACATTATACGAGCTTTGGCAACAGCGCCAAAATTAATATAATGAGTTCTGAGCTAAAGAGGGCGCTTACAAAAATATTGAAAGTTTCAGTGGCTAAAATTTTGAACTCCATTTGCTGACGGCCGAAGGAAAATAGCGCTTTTGACCAGGGGACCGGAATTTTATTGAAATGGGTCAGAAAGTCTAAACTGTTCAAAAAAACTACAATCTATTGACAAAAATTTTTCAATTTTTTTAAATTTTTCCTGTTGGTTAACAGCAAACGGAATTCTTCATTCAAAAATCGGCGTCTCAAAAGATACAAAATCAATTATCTGCAACCTGGCTACAGATTTTGATATTTTGTTTGAGGTGAGTTTGAGTAATTTTAGTCAAACTCATCTCAAAAAAGTGTAGAAGAGAACACTGTTCTCACTTTCTGCCAGAGCCTTTAGTAAATGTTGCTGCTCGAGTAATTCATTTTTCCTATCTCGACTTTGTGAATTTTGTAATGTAGAAAGGACAATTGGGAAAAATGATAGGAACAGAACCTCGTTGCAACTTTGAACGTTTTAAAGGAACATTCAAAGGTCGTTTTTCGATTATAGGAAGCACTTATACATATTGCACTATCCTGTGTAAAACGGTAATTAAAACAGTGTGATAACACGTTATCGTACTTTGAAAAACTGAACACACTCACCGTAGCTTCACTACTATAATTTCCTTTAATAAACAGTTGCCACGTGCTGTTTAATAGAACTTGGTCTACTTACAAAGCGAGTCGAGCCTCGTGACGTCAGAACTCATAGGCCCTCTTTCCTTCGGTGGTAACTGCAGCTAAAATAGAATAACCACCGAAATGTTGAAGCTGGGTTCAGATCATTTGCTGCAGTCATTAAAATGATTGTTTAACAGAACCTTAGAGGACAGCTGCATACGAACAGATTGGCAAATGCAGAAGCTATTTCATTATTTAAGAAAGGCGATAACAATGACTCTGAAAACTGCCCCCCGATAAGCCTGCTCTCACAAATATACAAACTATTCTCAGAAATATTAACCAGCACGAGTGGAACAGAAAGTCTTCTTATAGAAAAGACTCACGAAAATAACGTCTCAATACACTTGGCTTTTATTGACTTTCATAAGGCATTCGACTCTATGGAATTATGGACGATTCGAAATAGGGATGGGACATCGATCCTATAACGTCGATGGCAGCCATCGATGTTGACATCGAAAGGTAATATCGATGTTAAGGAAACATCGATGTTCTGATAGTTTGCCGTTGCATACAAATTTCAAATTGATTAACTTAAACTGAAATAATTTGATTTTACTACTACTGTGACATTAAATATCGACTAAATCTATTCAACTTGTAGTTGCCACATTTTTCGGTCAACTGACTGAAAAAAGAAGCTTTTTTCGGGTGCAGCTATCAAAGATTTTGCAGAAAATGTTTCTATCTAGTATCAACATCAAATGTCCGATGTTTCCATTTCAGGATCTAACATCGATGTTTTATCGATGTCCCAAAGTTCCAACATCTATGGTAAAAATGTCGAACATAGAACGAATGACATCGATGTTTACGAAACATCGATGTTTTTCTTTCATACCTAATTCGAAAGAAAAATTACTATCAGATATTTCCTTTATTTGTAGTGTTGTAATGATGAATATTTTACGACGACCTTAAATTTTCATGAATGTTTTAATGAAATTTTCCAGTATAACACAAAATGCATTCATGGCTACCGTTTTCCTGCTGCTTTCTTGTTAATGCTACTCATACATAACAAATTGATTACCGAGCCGCAAAGCAGGCCTTCGCGGTTTTTTTATTGCCAAATGAATCATTGTTGCTCTCATCGGAGAATGTACAAAAATGCATCTGTTTAATCGGCGGTTTTACCCAATCTGATGTGACTTTGTTCTATTTATATCCGATTAATGTTTGTTTTTGTTCACTAGCGGTCGGTTTTCTTTGCAGGAAGGACGTTTTATCTAACCAGTGATTTTCTTATTTTAATAAAATAATTTTCATTTTGTACAATTTTTGGCAAAATCTTTCTGTTTAGAAGCGTTTTCCCTGACACAAAAAGAAGCTGAATCTGAACGTTTTTGTTAAATTAATAATCTGATCATCACGTAATGTTTTTTGTGGCTTTTTGTTTGACTCTGTTTTTTAATTCCGTTTCCTCTCTTTTGCTTTTTGTAGATTGTCAGTTCTTTTGAGATGTTGATGTGCATGATTCCACTCATCTCTAGACGGATTTTTGCTCATTTTCGTTCTCAAGTCGATCTGCAAATGGCATCAATCTCTTTGTGTATTAATAATCTCTGCCATATTCAGTATTTGCCTTTAGTTATTCAAGACTTTTAAAGTGTGCGATCTCAGTTTCGCTTTTTAGCATTATTCATCCTCTGTTTGTGTATTATTTGGTAATTGACTCTTAAAAATTTGCTTTCGATCACAAGTCTTTCGCGGTAATTTTTTGAAACTAGTGAGCTTTTCAGGCTTTTAGGCCGTCGGTCGTGCAAGCTCGAGTGGCTTTCACCTTCAGAGTGAAGCATCATGGTAAAATTATTATCCACAGGGCTCAAAAGCTCGAAAAACTGACCAGTTTTGCATCTTGCAAATATATATCCCATATCTCTATTTTTCGATTTTACTTCAGTATTTTGCATTAGCAAAAGTCCAAATTTTGCACAATTTCTGTAGTGCTTCTTTCTATCTTCTAAAGATCGTCGAAACTTTAAGTTGCTACTTGACCTCGACTGAAAGGTACCATTTTTTTTAACCAAAAACCTCTATATGTGCGAAATTGGTCATTTTCAGCCGTCAACTTTTTTGGCAAAAGCCCAGATTTAGCCCGATTTTACTGAAGTTTCCAGTGCCAAAAGAATCAGATCTCTTTTACGGATCGTAAAAAATTCATGTTGCTACTTTACCTCGATTGAAAGTTACCATTTTTTTAAGGGAAAACCTGTACGTGTGCGAAATTGGTCATTTTAAGCCGACATCAACTTTTTCCGTAAAAGTCCGGATTTCGCCCGATTTCATTGAAGTTTCCAGTGCCAAAAGACTTAGATCTCTTCTATGGATCATAATAAATTCAAGTTGCTACTTGACCTCGATTGAAAGTTACCATTTTTTAAAAGAAAAGCCTGTATGTGTGCGAAATTAATCATTTTAAGCCGACATCAACTTTTTTGTCAAATGCCCAGATTTCCCCCGATTTCATTCAACTTTCCAGTACCAAAATACTCAGATCTTTTCTATGGATCATAATAAATTCAAGTTGATACTTGACCTCGATGGAAAGTTCCCATTTTTTTAACGAAAAGCCTGTATGTGTGCGAAATTGTTCATTTTAAGCCGGCCTCAACTTTTTTGTCAAATGTCCAGATTTCCCCCGATTTCATTCAAGTTACCAGTACCAAAAGACTCAGATCTCTTCTATGGATCATCAAAAATTCAAGTTGCTACTTGACCTCGATTGAAAGTTACCATTTTTTTTAACGAAAAGCCAGTATGTGTGCCAAATTGGTCATTTTAAGCCGACATCAACTTTTTTGGAAAAACTCCGGATTTCGCCAGATTTCATTGAAGTTTCCAGTACCAAAAGACTCAGATCTCTTCTATGGATCATCAAAAATTCACTTTGTTAACAACTATAAAAATTTTGCGCGATTTCAATTAATTTCCCAGTACGTCAAGGTTCAAATCACTTCCGTAGATCATGAAAATTTCAAGGTAATATTTAGTTTCGATGGAAAGTTACCATTGTTTTAAATAAAAGCGTGTACGTGAAAAATTGGCCATTTTAAGTCAAAATTGGTTTGGCTAGTAAATATTCCTATTTCGCGTTATTGGTACAAAATTTCGAGGACTCAAAGGCTCAAGATTCCTTTAAAGATCATGAGAATTTCAAGCTGTTATATAGTCTCTATTGAAAGTTGCCATTTGTCAAAAAAAAACTGTGTAAATGTGTGAAGTTTCACAGTCATTTTAAGTAAGAATTGACTTGAGTAGCAAAAATTCGTATTTCGCGCGAACTCTATAAAGTTTCTTGCACTTAAAGATTCAAGCGTCTTCTACAGATTTCCTGAATTTCAAGTTTCTGCTTGATCTGGCTTGAAAATTGCCATTGGCTTAAGGAAAGGGTGTATGTGTAAAATTGGTAATTCCCCGATTCGCAGCGATTAGGGCATAGCGCCGATTTGTGTGGAACCCTGCAGCCGTAAAATTTTACTTTTTTTCCATATTTTTCACATAAAACATCCGTAATAAATTGACATTAAAATTAAGAGATAAGAAATAAGATAAAATTGCAAAAAAGTAAGGGAGTCTTTTTAAGAAATCATACTGGTTACTACTACACTTTTATGACACTCCCTGTGTATTGAAACGTAACTTTAAAATGCGTACACTAAAAACCCTAACAATTTTAAACTCCAAAAACTTTCATCCGTCTAAAACTCATATTTGCTGAAATATTACACTTTGACACACTAATAAACCATTCAAAAACCACAATTAATAATTGCATGCGAATGAATAGGGAGAACTTTGTAGAGTCTTTGAAGAGAAAAAGCAATTTGCTGGTGACTAGAAACGCTAATTGACTTCCATTATTTATTGTGATTTATTTCGAACGAAAGTTGCCAAGAAAACCGATTCTTTTTTCAGTGGCGTCCATTGTTTCAATCTAATAATTATAGAAACTAAAGAAGATAAAAACAGAGAACAGAAACCTTGAAGGTTTACTCTAAAAACTGATTGGTTTTGATATTCTTCCAGTTGGGTGCTGCCAGTTTTCAAACTCGGCTACCAAAAGGACTTGCAAGTCGAAGACATCTACAACACGACCAAAGCCGATCTGTCCCAACCTTTAGGAGACATTTTAGAAAGGTACGATAATCCAGGAATGTTTTCAGTAGATAATAACGCAAAATCGCAGTTTTGAGTTACAAATAACTAACTTTTCCACTATTAGTGGGCGAATAAAAATTAAGTGCCATTTCAATTTACCAATATTTCGTGGATTTTCACCTTACAGAACACCAAGTCGCCTACAAAACTTAAAATTTTCAATTGCGTTTTCTCTCCGTTTCTTTCTGATGTTCGTTTTTCTATTGCCTCGTTAGAATGAGAATTTCTGGAATTTTTTTCCAGGTCATTCTGTATCAGTGTTCATGCGTTTAATTTMATTCTTCTCCGTCTTAAATCTTTTAAATTTTTTGAAAATGYCCTATTTTAAGTWTGCTCTTCTTGCCATTCTTTATATCTTGTTTTGCGTACTATTTTGAAACTGAACCTTTGAATATTCAGAGGTGTAAAGCCACTTGTGGCACACCTCTGGAGATGCAAGCCACTCGTGCTTGCGAAACGTCAGGAAGCAATTTTTCCACTACGACCGAAATACCCGAAAAACTCATTTACCTATGGGAATTCTTCCTCAAAATGGAGGGTTTTTAAGTGATATATCCTCAAAAATCCTCATTTYAGAAACTGGAACGAAGAAGTACTTCGAGTGCAAAAATCTGGCAAACCTCCCAGCTTAAAACGGGCAATATGGAAAACCATCGGCAAGTCCTACATGATCATCGGGTTCTTAATATTCCTCAACACGTTCCTAATAAAGTAAGTCGGCGCAAACCCCTCCAGGGAAGATTGGTAAGCTTCGCCTTTATTTGCAGAATGAGCCAGCCAATTGTTCTGGGCCGCTACATCAAGTACTTTGAGAAGAACTCAACTCATGACGCCTCCACGGGATGGTTGCTCGGAAGTGGCGTGATATTGCTGGCCTTTCTGCACAAGGTTGTCATGCACTATACAGTCCTCAACTGCTCGAGAGTGGGGATGAGAGTGCGCGTAGCCTGCTGCTCCTTGATCTATCGAAAGGTACTTCAGTCTCCTTACCAGAGTCATTCAAATTTGGTGCCATTGTTCTAGAAGTTGAGATATTGCAATTTGCAGTTCTGCCTTTAATCGCATAGATTGTTGATGACTTGGCCAGATGAATCCATTTGCTTCTAATAAACAAATATAAAGTCGTGGCAGCAAAGATAAACTTTATGCATGGTTACACATTTAAAGTTTTGAAGAGCGCAATTTCGAAACTAACCACAAAAGAAAGTGGCGCCAATTTGAATCGTCCTCATCTTGTACATGGTGGGTTGTAAGGTCCGTTTGATTAGTTGCTGCGATTGAATCACATTTCGTCCGGAAAGACGACTGCCGGCCAATTGGTCAATTTGCTATCCAATGATGTGGTTCGATTTGATTTCGCCCTGGGGTTCCTGCACTATATCTGGATAATGCCCTTGCAGGGAATAGCGGGATTAATTGTTATGTACAGTTACATACAAAATGCGGCTTTTCCCACCATGCTGGTGATGACCATTCAGGCAGTTCTGGGACAAGGTGAATCTTGGACAATTTCGTTCACACCAACTGAGGCTTACTTGTTTTATCCTTTCCAGGGTGTTTATCCAAGCTGCAAGGCAGGTTTAGAGGAAAAATCGCCACTCTCACCGATCAAAGAGTGAAGCTAATGAGCGAAATCACCTCGGGGATTCAGGTAATTAAAATGTTTGCTTGGGAGAAACCGTTTGAAAAGATTGCGGACATTTCACGCAGGTAATCAACTTTGCATAGTGCTTTGGTAATTGCAGCCCATTTTTTAAACAAAGTCTTTCAGAAAAGAAGTCAATATGATTGCCCGAAACTCATACATCCGAGGCTTTTCTTCGGCTTTGAACATTTTCATCGAACGTGCCACTCTTTACATTGCTGTTATTTCCTACGTCCTACTAGGGAATCGGATAACAGGTAGGCGTGGCCTAAGTCCCATCTCCAACTAGAATCACTTCATTTTCTTCTACAGGCGAGGTGGTTTTCTCAGTAGCCCAGCTGCTCAACACCATACAATTGTACATGTCAGTCTTCTTCCCATTGGCGCATTC